ATGGATGGATGGATGGATGGATGGATGGATGGATGGATGGATGGATGGATGGATGGATGGATGGATGGATGGATGGATGGATACTTTATTTATAGCTTTATTTCAGGAACATTTCACTTTTCCACATTTTTTGAAGTGCAAACATAGCAAACAGATCTCCCTATAGTAGCAGTATCACAAATAATTTGCAAATGCAAAATAGTAGGCCTACCCCCAAAACAAGAGAGATTCATTCAAAGAGAAAAGTGGGGTTTTGGATAATCCCATTCTTCTAAATTACATAAGGTTTGCATATAATCTGAGTTTGTTAAATCGGACTTTAAATGCCCAGTGTACCAATCTACACCATCTGGTTTTATTTTTGACGCACTCCTGCCAAGCAAAGGCTCTGCAGCCTTACTTAATGTCGCACAGTTCTCCTGTGGAGCAGGACATCAACTTGCAGCCCAACACCTCTCGTTTTTGGAACGTGAGCATGTGCCTCAATGGCTGGCAATGAAAAGAAGGATAGATATTTTCCAAGTGACTAGAGAAACTCATGCCCTGCACAAAATGGGTTTCGTTATTTCAACAGACAAACTTATTTATTTCCCAGTACATTTGCCTGCAGCTGGATCCAAGATCCTTCGTTCTGGAAACAATGTAAGTTTGATTTTTTTTTCTTCATGAAAGCAACTGAAAAAACCTTGGGGAAGTTTTAATGTGGCCTTTTCTCTCCATTCTCTTACTTTTTTTCTGTTTATATTATGATTAATACACATCACCAATAAACTCACGAAGCTTTAACATTTTTGTAACCTTGATGAAGCCTCTGTCAATAAAATTAACTTACTTTATTCTAAGAGGGATCTTTCTCTGACGCACTTTCAGACAAACCCCAACAAGTTTGTTGGACGTTCCACGTTCTTTTAAAATGCCCCCTGCTTGCTAAATCCTCAGCTCAGCAGAAAAGGCTGGTTTACTGTGTCATACATTGACATGCTCTGGCAGGGCTTTATGAACCACCAAGGAACGTGCTCTGGGCTTAAAACCAGCTGCCCCTGCAAGGGCCATACAGCGGGTCTCTGGTTTGTGCCACGTAGATATTTCCAAGAACCTTAACATAAACGTCTCTGACAGAGCTATAAGGGCAAAGTTTGACTTATCCTTTTTCCCTTATTAGTTTTTTTTCCCTCCTGCCCTTACAAGCATGCTATTAACCTCTTCAATCTTTGTCAGGAACAACAAGGGAAAATCAAAAGATCAGAAATCTCATTGAAAAAAAAATGCAAGCCCAGATACATATGTAAAACTTTAATCAAGATAGTCACATTTTTATGTTTTTGTTATAAGCTAATACGTATTTAGTCCAGAGTAATTGATGCAGCAATGGATGTTATGGAGCAGAGTTTTATATATTATTATATATATTCAATATATTCAGTATAAACAACCAGCAAACAGCATATTATGTTTTGCACAGCTTGTAAGCCTGAATTCTAAACTGTATACATTGTTGTAAAAAATGTGGGGTTCTTCCATCTTTTACAATCACAATGACATTAAAAGCAAACTGTTGCTGCAGCTCTGTGTCACATGACTGAGTCTGTGGCCTGCAATCTGAAGTCAGCTCTTTGTGTGGAGAACTTTGGGAATCTAACAGTTTATTCTCATTAGGAGTTCGTATGAAATCGTACGAAAAGTTATGCACCGTAATTTTGTACGTTTTGGACATTTTTTTCGTCGTATGCGCATGCGCATCTGACGCACCATTCACGAATATAGAACATAAATTACAATTAGCCCTAAACCTGACCCTGACCCTATCCCCAAGATATAAAACAGCAAGCAACGTAGTTAGAGACATGAATAAGTGATGATTGCACTGTTTTTCCCAGTTTTACGTCCGTCTGCGGATCTGCTTTTTTTATTTTTGTCTGCCAGCGCATGCGCACTGATGCGGTTTTTTTAAGGAAAAACGTCCAAAACGTACGAAATAGTGTGCATAACTTTTCGTACCATTTCATACGAACTGATAATGAGAATATGTTGAATCTTAAGACATTTAAAGAAAGGTGCTAAGTGCATTAAACTGGGGATTAACTGTTTTGGTCTGCCCACAAAAGATGAAACAAAAGCACTATTGCTTCTTTTCATGCCAAAAAGTGATCAAATCCATCTGCTAGTGTGAGTTTTCCACTTTGATGAATTACTCTGCAAGAAAACATCATCAGCACAGCTCTGGGCGCAGCTGTCCTGCGCCCAGAGTTAACAGGACCTGTTGTAACAGTCGTAGTGCAACTGATTGACAGTTCAAGTTGTGGAAGTTGGAGATGCTTTGAGAGAGAAAGAGAGAAATAGTGCAAGAAAAATAATTTAAGTGAAGTTCCTTAAAGCAAACTTACCAAGATACTGTAAGCTGAAGGTGAAAGCATTTGGATCTCATCAGCCGAACATAATAATTAACCAGCAGTCAAAGGACAGATGGAGAAGGTAAACTCGGGCTTTTTCCAGGACCTGGTTTAGCTACAACTCCTGGCTAACTGCGTGCAGCAAGGTTAACACTTTATTCTGTTTTCCCATTTTCAAACATCAGGATCTGACCCAGCATGGGTAAAGACAGGTATGACTGATTTAAAGCACTATTTAGAAAAGGCAAAAAAGAATGAACAATCTGGGACTCACATGGAAAATAATATAATATAGTGTACTTTTTCTTTGTGTTTGTAATTTGTATAGTTGCTCTTAAATAAACGCATTCTCAGAAAATAAATAGTTTTTGTATATTAAAAAAATAGAAAGATGACTAATAGCTTCTCCATTATTAAACTGGTACATTATTTCTTTTAGGTTTGTGACACTATATTGGAGCATGCAAAACACAGATTTGCCTTCACAAAGCCTCAGAAGGGCAAGATTTATGTACAAAAATTAAACATGTACATGAAATTAAGTTTCTGTTTTTATAAATTGTTTTTGTAATGTTTTTTGTTGTTGGCATTCATATGAATATACTGGTGTGATAACTTAGTATACGTTTGATTGTTTTTTGGTATTGGTTCAGATATATGTTTATGCACAAAAAAATCTGCAGGATTTAGGAAGTTGTAAGACATAATATCAGCGTTCTTAGTTGTGATAAAGTTATGATGTATTACTCCATAAACCATCACTGGTAAGTGAGTTTAACAGAACTGAACTGCAGAACTAACCTAGACCTTCTTTTAATGAGGAAATGTAGGTTTTTGTTGTGATTTTTCTTTTCACACTATGAATTTACAAGTATTTTGTTTGATCTCAGTTGTGTCGCATAACCAAAGTGTGTTTGAGATTAAGGGCATAAAATTATAGTCAGGCATTCTCCAGCAGGACTTTCTGCCACAAAGTTGATATTTATGTATCAGCCATCAGCTGCAGCTGTTTTGTGTCCTGAATGGTAGTGCTGTAGGCAAGACCACACCAACCAAGATCAAGGAGTACCGAGACAAGACCAAGACACTAAGAGGCAAAGACCAAGACAAGACCAAGACATTTAGAGGTCGAGACGATCCAACTAATTAGTGAATATTGGAGCTGATATCCAGCTATCGGATCATTAAATCTCTAATAAATATCAGATACTTTGCTTCTTGTTTGCTTTCTTTTTATATATATCTATTAGCTCACTCAATGTTGTCATGCAAATTCTAAGTAATTTATTTTTTCTCTCCCTTTTAAAAAAAAAATGCACATCACAACTCTGTATCCGCTCCCAAGAGGGAATGTCTATCAAACGTGTGCAGGTGCCCATTTCTTCTCATGCACGCTCTGTTTAAAAGTTGCTGTTTGCATCACTCATACAAGCTTACTTTCCAAAAGAAGATCTGCCATTTTTCCACTTGGTCAGACTCAACACCAGTAAATGATAATGAGGATGAGCACGTAGGACAGACTAACGTAAACATAGCACCAGAATGATTGGCAATTAGGAGGACCACTTATTTTGATGGTCCAACCGGAAAACGAACATCCTCCACTATACCTTTAAGCAGTATAGTTTTTCAAACATATAATTTAGAAGGTATTTTACTTATTTTCCGTGTTACTACTGCTCTAATCTGCTTAAGACTAAGTTATATCTGAGGCTTAATTTATAAACTTACTCAGCCAGCTTAAGGAAGTTCGAAAATGAAAAGGGAATTATTTTATGAGCAGAAAACAACTTTCAAATTTGCCAATTCACACTGCGAGCTTTGCTTCACAATGTTTCTGTTGCTGCGACAAAACGGGGCAATGTTTCAAAAGGAACAGGCTTAAAGATTAGAATATCATTCATAACACAGCTCTCATATGTGCTTTCCAGACACCTTTTGTGCTGTGTCTTTTTATCAATTCATGTTAAAAAAAATCATAAGGGAAAATGTTTAGTATTCAATTAAAATACTGAAATAATTTCACAAAAACTGTCAGTAGATTTAGTTTTTAGTCATATGCTCAAAAACGGTTTAAAATGGTTTATTTGTAAACAGAGCAACCCAATTCTATAGAAAATGCCTTTCTAACAACATAAAAATGGAAAACATTTACACTTTGTGCAATGCAAATCTCAAGTAAATGATGATGGAAAGGAAGCAGAACAGAACAATGAGAATACACAGACTGATGTCAATAGACCGAGAAACTATCATGTTCCAAAGAACACTGTACAGTCACACCGTTATCTGTTATCATTTCAGCCAACACTGCAAGGTTTCACAATATCCATTAGTCATGCTAAAAAAAAAAATCATATGAGCTGAAAACTATTTGGATAAAATGTTTTTACAATATTTCTACTTTTCTAAGACTTTAAGACAAAAACTTAAATGACCTTCAGACTCTCAGATGCAGACAAGTGATGTGTTAGGCTACACTGGATTCACTGAGGAAGAGGCACTGCAGAAAACTTTTTGATGAGTGAACTCACATAAATAGATAAACACTCTCGTGGCAAAGATGCCCTGTTTAAAACTCAACAGTCAGAATGATAACAATCTGTCACCATGTTATAAAAGTGATCTTTTTTAAGCAACTTTAAAACACAGTCTCTGAAACTCACAAAGAAAAGTCTTGAGATAATGTATAATGCTATCTTGGGTGTAATATTGAACTATATATCAGTGTAAACAAATAAATAATCTATTTACAATCTAGCACAAATGCAAACAAACAAAACAGGCTGAGCCTAAATAATTTACAAAAGAAAATATAGTACAGACTTAGTATAAACATCTCTGCATGGTTGAAATCAATCACTCTTAGTTTCCGGTTAAAGAGCACATTCAGCTCAAGAGAAATGAAGAGAAACAGTGATGGTTATAGTTTCAGTTAGTTGGTTGTTTACATTTAGTCAGACAGTGCTCACTTACAGGTCAAAGGGAGCAAGCAAATGCAGGGAATCACAAATAATTGATTCCCTTGTAAGTGATTGTCCAGCGAGTGGTCACACAATAAAGAGAAAGATGTAGAATAAGTATATGGTTTATTTTTTGATATGATGCTTTTTAAGCTTGTTTACTGTGTTCAGTTTCTTTCCACGAATGGAAATATTGTACTGGAGCTTTAAGGAAAACTGAAACTGCAATGACTTTGTTTCCTGTCAGTGGATGAAGGCAAAAGATGCCTTTATGCAAAGTCTCATTCATGTCCAGCTGCTTCATTGATGACGGGATTTACTTGGAAAGATTCTTGTTTTTGTCCTTCTTCTGAATGACATCAAACTCAGTTATCTGCAGAAAGAAATGAAAGACAGCCGCCGTTAATAATACGTTTAGAGCGGAGAAAAAAAAGAGCGTCAGAATGGAGGAACATGTGCAATGTGGGCATTAGGAAGCGTGTCTTCAGCAACGTGGCTGTGATTGTGAATAAGTGCCGCAGGCTCATTTTCCACAGTTTAGCACTTGGCACTCAGCATAAGATCCTTGGACTGACGCACAAGGCCTTTCACAATGCAGCTGGGGCATTGTGCACGGGCAAGCTGTCAAGCACAAACGGCAGTTTTTGTTCTTGCAACCACACTCAACACACAAACTCTCAACCCTTTACCTGGTGAACACTGCTGGGAAGTCCGGTTTATCTGAGGTTTGGGAAACATATCAATCGCTTACAAAGTGTTCATTACATACACAAAAATATCAAAGTTTTCTCTTACAGCCATATGACAGAAAATATGAATTTAGCTGTTTTACGGTTTCTTCTACTGCTTCTTGTATCCATCTGTCAGTCTCTAACATCAGGCTCATGAAAGTTTCAAATGTGATAAGAGGTTTCTTTCATACCCTTTATATTTCCTAGTTCTTAAACATTCATTGGATTACTTGCTGTTTTTTTTTCCAGATTATTGTCATAGTCCAGGGTCAATGTTTGCTTTACACATATTTCCTGATTCTATGGCCACGAGTTAGTCAGGTTCCCAAACCTTCCCATTTTTAGCTCTGTTCTTCAAAGTGGGTATCATCTTGGAATGTTGCTTTTGGTTAAATCCAAAAAATGTGCAAATAATGAAGCTTTTGACTCATCTGTTTATCCTTATGTCCACTTTTCCCCAGCAAACTTTAGTCTGGCTTTCATGTTCTTATTAAATAGAGAATGTTTCTTTCATACCATGATGCTTAAACTTCTGCAGTCTCATATTGATTTTTACAGACAAACAGTTTTACATCATGAGTACCTAAACCTCTGAAGGTTATGTGATTACATTTTAGTAGTTCTGGAGAAGCAATTTAACATATTTTTGTATGCTTGAAGGGTGAACTTGAATGACTGGTGCTACATTACTTACAATTTTATTCTTACTTGTTTTTTCTTTGCATTTATTCATACATTTTTCCTTCTATAATATCAATCACATAAAGGATAGTATCTATTTTCTATAATCAACTGAGCAATACTGTAGTCGGAAAAATCTATTTCGTATTACATTTGTTTATTTGTTAATTAGTGCTGATTTTACTTCTATTTTCATATAAAAGTATCCATTCGGGCTGTTGCACATCTGCAAGGCTACATAGGGTGAGAGCTTTGTACTATTAGTGGGTGTTTGGAATAGAGGCCAGACTCCTTTATTCTCAAACTAATAACTCTTTTCTTCAATTGTCTGTAATGTGTTTGATTAGCAGTTATGAGGACCTTCACAGCAGACTTGAATTTAGTTAGAAAAAACTTGTCTAGATCAGAAGAGACAATAAAATAGAGCTGTGAGGGCTGTTATTATTGTGTTGTGTTTTTTTTTTTTCAAAGACAAATAAAGAGCTGCCTGAGTGATTACCAATAATCTTTATTTAACTAAATTGTATATTTCAATATTTTTTTCTGAAACACAAATGATAACCAAATGACACAAAATATTTATTATAAGGGATATTAACTGGCTATCTCAGGGTCATCATACCTTAAAATCTCATACCAGCCCCTGCCTAATCCCAATTAATAATCAATTACTAACTATATTTAACTAGAGCCAAACAAACAATATTTGATGGTTAAACATCAAACATTATGCTTTGGTGTAGGAATCTATGGTTAATTCAATTTCAAGAGACAAACTAGCCATTTTCTAAACTAAATAACCAAATATAAATAAAGGACAGACTGCTTGGATGTAAGATAAGAGATACCAGATTTATCCCAGATTCCTATGCTTTCAAAATGTTTTCTTTAACAAACAGACTTGTGGTTCCAGCTTACCTCGGCACTCATACTTGAGGTCGGAGAAGAATACCAACTCTTGTGAGAAGACAAACAGGCCTAACCTTCCTCCGGCAAATGTCTTGTCATAAACTGGTCCTGAGTCAGCCATGATCTGTTTCCCTTCATATACCACAACCCTAAAAAAGAAAAACAAGCCCTGTAAGCATAATGTATGATGTTTGCTGCATACAGGCAAGTGAATATATAGGCTTACCTTATAAAACCAGTCTTGGGTCTATGAATAAGATGCCATCTGTAAGCTGTGTAATCTTTCCAACCAATGTTTTTGGGGTCATGCCACAGAGTGCGTACCTATATAAAATTTTAGTTCAGTTTTTAGGGCATTATTTTTGTCGTCCAATAAAACAAAAATCAATACTGTCTGATTTAAACAGACAGAATTATAAAAAAAAAAAAAAGAAGATCAAGAGCTAGGACTGTTTTCACTCTAACATTTGGATGTCATCCTACCTGTCCGGGGGTGTTTCCTGTGTGCCACAATGCATTCCTGAGGTTTTCTCCAGTTCCTGTGGTTGAGTTGACAACTTTGAGTGACACGCCTGAGATGCCAAAGGCTTTGGAGGGTTTGTCCTCCCAGTAAGTCTGTGTGATCTGCTTCCACATCACAACGTAGAAGCGCCCGCTCGATTGATAGCCAAACACAAAGCCAGCATAGTCATCGTCTCTGTCTGTGTTCACATACATGGTTCCACTGAAGTCTACGGCACTGAACTCATCAAAACCTGTGGGAAGAAACCAAATATGATACACTCTCGGGGGGCTGCAGAGTTAAATGGATTTCTTTTGAAAAGCAGTGAGTCAGCATGAAATGCTTTCCTGACAGTAAACATTTTGCATGTGTGCTTCTCACCAACTGCAATTCCTGGATCTGAGTTTGCAGTCTGAACTAGCTCTTTGCCCTGATGTCTGACCATCCAGTTGGGATCAATCTGAGTTGTTCCCTTTGGATCCAAGTGGACCATCTGGAACTTTCTGAAGTCTGTAATACTAATAGCATTGTTCTCTGGACACACATCGAGGATATCTGGAATGCTGTCATTGTCAAAGTCGTCTTTGCACGCATCCCCTCTTCCATCACCTGTTTTGAATAAAACAATATTTAAAAGCATCAACAAGGTTGACCTACTTATGCATAGGATTGAAAATCAGCTGTGGCAGCTGTAAGTATCCTGACACTCCTACTACAGAGAATCATTTGCACGTTAAAAATGAAAAAGAAATGGAAAAGTTACCATTCATTTAAAAAAAATGTGTCTAATACCCATGCCAAGTCTACTGAAGCAAATCATTAAGTCTTTTTTTCATACAAATTCAACAAGTTTTCCAAACAAACGGCCCAACCTCTGCAGGAGTTTAACTGCAGTCCAGGAACACAGGAAGACAAATAGGCCAGTGGTTTAAAAAGGGGCACTGCATGAAAGTAACTAGCTTCCATTTGTCAGCAGCTTTGTTACTGTCCAAACGAGCTTGAATGGTTCTATCAAATTAGCACAATCTGACAAGCTTTAAAGAGTGTGAAGGCGAGCTTTCCTACTCTGTGGTCTGTTTCCAGTTACAGACAGCTGTACAAACTCCAGGTAACCCTGCTTTAAATGGGACTCTTTGGATTAATCACGAGCAAAGCCGAAAGGAAATAAAAACTTCACAACCTGGCATTCACCCCTCTGGCCATCTAAGTCGTGCAGAATGACATCACTCGTACCGACCCACTTTTTGACTTTTTCCACAGCCTCTGTACTTCACACCTGCTGCAGGGAGACTAATTGCTGAGCATCAAGGAGAAAGCAAAACCTCATCAAGTAAAAAGAATAAATAAAGACTTTGTGGAGTTTGGAGGAGCTAGACCGGAGAATACTGGACTGTGCACATTCAGTTATAGATGACCAATTACAAAGAGATAAGCAACAACAGTTTTGACAGCCTCCGTCTGTCATGTAAAAAGAGTTTAACACGCATAAAGAATAAGAACCACCTTGTCTGTGTTTAGTTAATTCTCATCTTAACTAACCTGAAAGTTTTCCAGATCCAGCATGCTAAATGCCCAACAGTGGTAAAAGCTCAAAATAATAAGATACAGCCATTGTTGCTCTTACTTTCGCCTTCCTGTTATCTGCTTAAGTTCTGGCTCTTGCTCACTGTCCTGCAACCCTGAATAAACCACAGCCACTTTCTAACAAGTCATAGAGAAAATACACTGAAGCTGAAAATAGCTAACTCTGAGTCTTTTTTCCTTAGTAATAGCACCCACCCCAAAGGACGTTGCTATCTGTCTGACCCGATTTCTGGAATATGGTGTACAATTAGGTCCCATTTACACTACCCTTTTGAAACCGTGCCAAGAACGGTCAAAGCACGGTAAGCGAGACTGTTGGGTGTAAATGGAATGCAACTGAACCCATGCCAGACACAACCGCACTTGAACTAGTAATAGTTCAACAGTAGGGCTCGGCATGGTTAAGTTGTGGCTCGGTTCTCTAATAACAAAGAGCACATGAGCAGACCACATCATCTCCTATTTACAGTCAGCTGACTCATTTTGCTGGTTTTCCAGGGTGTTCAGCTTTGCAATTCATAGATCTCTTCAACTGTTCACAACACAAACTCAACCTCTTAACAATAAATGGCATCAAGAGCTGGGATGATGCCAAGACTGAGGCTCTCGGTAAAATTCAGGCGGAGGACACTGTCCAGGCATATGAGTTCCTGAGTGTTATGGGCACCACCATTTTTGTTTGCATAATTCCCGCTTTGAGAGCTCTAGTATTGTGGACACCCAATAGGAGGTAATCAATCCATGCTAGCATTATATATAAATGGTGGCAAGAACCTCTGCACGGTTAACTGATCCAAGCTTGGTTCGAACTCGGCACGGATCGGTTTCAGAGAGGTAGTGTATACCGTATGGGGCATTAGTTTGGAGGACAAAAAGGATTTTCTAATAGTAAACAACTTTAAGAACGTTTTTCTGCATATTGCAGGTTTTACCTCTATGGGTCATACTGTATCTGTTATCATAGAGTCAATTGGTTAAATGCTATGTACTCACCATCAGCATCCTCTTGGTCTTCATTAGGTGTTAGTCTACAGTTGTCCTTGTCATCAGGTATACCATCATTATCATCATCATAATCACATGCATCTCCTTTCCCGTCCTTGTCATGGTCTGCTTGGTTTGCATTGGCCACATAGGGACAGTTGTCTAAATTGTTCTGATGACCATCTTCATCAATGTCCTGATTATTATCACACTGGTCTCCAACCAGGTCATTATCCCCATCAGTCTGTCAGATTGATACAAATGCATTTATTAATATTTCTCACAGCTGCTGTGTGGTTGCATTATTTATAGGTTATTACCTGGTCGGGATTATGAAGCAATGGGCAGTTGTCACATTGGTCACCAACGCCATCCATGTCTGTATCCTTCTGGTCAGTGTTGTATACATAGGGGCAGTTATCACTCTCATTTGGAATTTCTAGGGGGAAATTACATGATTAGAACAACAATTTTCAATTTGGAAACTATAATTAAAATAATTTGAGTCAATTTTGAAACTAATCATAACCAGTTTACCATCTCCATCGATGTCCACAGCACAGGCATCCCCTTCACCATTATGGTCGGTGTCTATTTGGGCAGGGTTGTGTTCATAGGGACAGTTGTCACAGCGGTCACCTACTTCATCCTTGTCAAAGTCAAACTGGCGGGGATTGTAAAGGAGGGGGCAATTGTCCTAAAGGTGGGAAGTGCATGCTTGTTAATATCTGTTGTGCAAACAGTAAGTTGTAGAAAGACAATAATCTAGATTTTGTTAGTGATTTAAATCTTAGATTTGTTTGTAAAACTTCAATTCTGGCAAACTGCTGATTCTACCTTCTATTCAAGTAAAATACAAGGTAATAGATAAAAGGACAACAGTGAAATAACTTTCTTCTGACTTACTTGCTGGCATAAAAAAAAAAAAAAAATCAGTTCCCATTTACATGCCTCACTGAAAATAAAATGCCTTACTTAAATCTACATTTTCTTTCAGTAAAAAGTTTTTTAGATCTTCCCTCACTTGTGCAAAGAGGTGAACCTGATGTTTTTCTAAAATTAACTATTGGGTTCTGCTGGGTATAATCTACGACTTTAGGGGAAATTAATTGTTTTTTTTTTTTATCCCCTGACAGTTTAGAATAGTAAAAGTTTGTGATTTTCATACTCGCTCATCCATAATTCCATCATTGTCATCGTCCTTGTCACAAGCATCTCCTTGGCCATCTCTGTCAAAGTCCTCTTGACCAGAGTTTGGTAAGTTAGGGCAGTTATCCTAAAATGAGTTGCAAGACATTTGCAAGGTTCATCATCTAAATGTGGTGTCAAAGCAGAGAAGGCAACATACAAACAAGTCAATGACAATACCTTCTTGCAGTGATATGTGTTGTTGGCACTGCAGACCAGATTCTGATTGGGCCATCCATCTAAGTCTGAGTCCTCTCCACAAATAAATCCGTCCCCAGCGTAGCCAGTGCGACACTCACATTTGTACATTGGGTCACTGAAATGGCTGATGTATATACATTCAGCATATTTGTGACAGCTGTGGGTCTTGTCTTTACAAGGGTTCTCTGGCTCACATATCTTACAAAAAAAGAAATGTGAAATTAAGATGTTATGATATGCAGTTGGCATCAAAGAACAACAGATGGAGTGACTTTTACTAAAGTGACTCTTTCAGTCTTTGTACTGTTTCTGCTTCGTGTTAGGGTTGCTTACTTTATAGTCTTTCTAAATAATTTTTTTTTTTTGTCATTTAGAAAGAACTTGTTTAAATCAAACATATTAGTTTGCAAAAAAAATAAATAATCAGAAGAGGGACCAGTTCCATAACCTGGTGTGCAAGCTGAATTCAGTATTTGTGAGTTCACAAACACCCACAATCACTCTAGCTGATATGGTGCGAGTACGAGGGGCAGCCAATCACATTGCAGTATTATGATTCAAGTCGTGGCATATAGCTATGACAAAAGCAAAAGGTGCTAAACCCAAAATAAAAATGGCAGCAAACAAAAGAAAAAAAGGGTATTAGTAGCTCCTGTTTTCACATCTGTTTTGTCAGAATACACAATTTCATCTTTGAAACAAGAGAGTAAAACCATAGGTTATGAAGGTTTCGCATTCTGTCAGCTGACAATTTAATTTGTTACTATGATTAGCCTAAAACCAAACTTTGGTGGGCGGGCACTAGGTGTTGCTTTGCGGTTCTGATTAACCGCCCTCCTTTCCTTTTCAGAATTGATGGGAGCAGAATGTAATGTGTAGCACTAAATCTGAGTGCTACAAATTATCAATCTATCCTGCCAGGTTAGCTCTATTGAGCACAAATCATTTCACAATTTTCTATTTAATAGCACCAGTGAATTACTGCAGCACACAGCTGCCCTTCATTACCAGTGGGTGAAATATTAGATACCACACAGTGAGTTCACAGAGCTCCAACTTAAAGCCAGATCCAGCTTTTGATCAAATATGTGCAATAGAGCATTTTATTCCAAATAATAAGCAGTTTTCCATCCTAAAAAATGAATAAACTGGAACTGAAACAATGTAAAATTGAACAGGCATGTGCACAGGGTGTAGAGCAAAATAAAAAAAAAAAAGAAACAATGACTGATGTTACATGGCAGGGTCTCTGCGTTTTAGTTTTCCATGAATTTGGTGATCAAAAGAATAATAAAAACTGTATCCCAGTAGAGTGATATATATATATATATATATAAAATGTCCTTATACCTTTTCCAGAGACAAAACTCAACAGCTGTGACATTGTGTTCATAATATCTTACTCAAAAACAACCTGTTTCTGATCTTACAAGGCCCAGCAATGTATGGCATATGTTAATGGTTATGGGGTTACCCCACACTGCTCCATCTACTTACTGGTACTGGTCAAGATAAGTTATATTCACATAAGTTCACTTACTCAGTTATTTTATACTATTCAACCCAACAGAAATAAATCAATACCTTCTATTTTAACTCTTTTAAAGCTACAACTGTCAATTCGTCAAAGATGCTGAATGAGTGCCACACAAACTCACTTGTTTGTTTGTTCTGGCTGCATCAACACCCATGCCAAAAGGCTGCGTTCCTTTGTAGCGCTTTGGACAGGGCAGACAGTGGAAGCCCGGGTCTGTATTGACACAGCGCTGCGTTCCACCCACTTTGTAACAAACATCAGACACCATGTCACACTAGAGGAGCAATGAAGGCAAAATGAAGAAACAAATTTAGAAAATTGAAGTGTCAAAACCAGGATTGGTTATGCGCCTTTTAGGGTTTGTGGCTTTCACCTCATTGATGTCATCACAATGGGTGCCATTTCCCCGAAAACCAACGGGACAGGGGCCACACTCCCAGGAGCCGTCTGGAGAGCTGTTACAGTCCACCCCGCCAAAACAAGGATTAGACAGGCATCCATCTGTCAGGGCAGAGAAATGTGTGCAAAATAAAACAAACAGAAAAGTGGCAATTGGAAAAAGTTAATCCAAAGAACTGGTTTTGTGTGCACCAAAGTTAAGGGCATAATTAAAATAATATAATGTAATGAATAATTAAAAAAAACAAGTTATTTGCCAGCTTTGCTTGACCTAGTGAAGACAAATAATCAAAGTGATGAGTGTTGGATTGGATGAAAGGCTGAGCAAACTTCCCTTTACTTTCTTTGCCTTAGCCTCTTTTATTGTGTTGTCATAACATTCTCATGAAGGATGCACATCATTTAATTTCCATACCTCCTGCAACTGTAACTAGTTTTGCTTAAAGTTAAGCGATGATATAAACAAGTTGTGTTAATAAAAAGGGGAAAAATTCACTCACCAATGGGGCAGTCATCCTTGTTGCAGATGTCACTGTCAGTGGCCTCTCCAATGCACTTCTTGCCGCCATACTGAGGATGAGGACTGTTGCACTCGCGTGAACGACTTTTGATTCCTCCTCCACATGTTGCAGAACAAGTTGCCCATGGAGACCATGGCCCCCAACCCCCATCAACTAAGAGGAAAATAAATAAATCACATGTTAGATGTACAGTGCCTTGAAAAGAAGCCCACTCATTTTTCCAATAGTGATGAACCTCCAGTCTAAATAAAGACCCTTTAGATTTTGATATAGTTAGATGAGAAAACCAGAACTGCAGCCTTCGCTCTGATCCATCCCAAAGGTGTTCTATAAAGCTGAAGTCAGCATCCTGGCAGGTCAGTCAACTTCCTTTCCTCTCCAAACTGTATAAACATGCATCCATGGCAGTAATTGGAACAGCTAAATACAAAAATTTGATGTTGTGACTCAAAACTTCTGGCAATACTAAAGAATATTCTTCATTCATGTCAAACACTACTTGGCAATAAAGCTCTTTCTGATTCTGATAAGATGCTTTACTCCTTTATAATTTAACATGAGATCAGATGAGACCATCCCTTACATATTAGTATTATGAAACATTTTCTTCATTCATTTTCCATTTAGTAATAAAGAAGTTATTTGCAGTAGTGTTGAGTGAAAAGGTACAAATTTGATTACCAACCCACTTTCACATTGTTGAATTTGTTTAAATGAAAGTGAAGCTTTAAGAATATTTTCTGAAAACTTCAAAAAGAATTGTTTCACTGAAGAGGAAAGAAAAATGGTGAAAATTAGGTAATTAAAACCACTAAGTACTTTAACCCTTGTTAAACAGAATGCTGAGAACAGCTAAAACTATACTAATTAGGTAAAAGAAAATGCTACACAACACCTTACCAAAACAAAAGCATGGTAGTGGCAGCATCATGCAGTAGTGACATGCTGAAATAGCCCAAAATTAAAGCAAATAATAAATACATGAAGATTTAAATTTTTTTTGGTATTTTACATGCCTACAAATAGGACAGAAGTTTGTCTTCCACCATGCACCCAAGTGTACCGTTAACGCAACATTTAAAGGCCTTAAGGGAAATACAGGAATGGCTCCGACCTCAGGCTGACAAAAGATCGGAAGCATGATTTAGAATAGCGCTGCACAGCAGCTGCACTCATCTAGTTTGATAAAAATGAAGCAGCTGCACCTTGATAAATGAGAAAAAATCCCAGTGACAAATCTGCCAAATTTATAGTCATACCAATTTCAGACTTGCAGCTGTAAGTGCTGAAAAATGTCTCTCAACATATTACAAAAGAGAATTTAAAAATATCATTTATTTCTTTATTTTTTAGTTGAGCTTTTATTCTTAATAAAGTCCTGCACAAGTAATTTTTCATTGATTTTCATGTCGGCAGAATGAATGATGCAAAGTTCATAAAAAAACAAAAACTTGTGCAGGAATATTCATAGCGGTTCTGATTTTTTTGGATGGGTCAGTATTTTATTGCTTTTTTTTTTGGTCTAACATTTGGTTTCTAAACAAACAGCCTTGCAGAAACAGAAGTATAGAGGCAAATACTGCAAAAGAAAACAAATGGAGCTTATTTTGCTCAACATTTCCTGACAGACTGACAGGAGGTCAGTCCAAAGCACATGGGGAATGCTGCCCTGAGGGAAAACAAGGACTGAATGTTGGACATGTGAAAACACCAGATATTTCTAACCATGATGTTGCTCTTTAGAAATCTTTTGTTAGCTAAAATACTCACTCGGACAGGGTTGGGCAGTGCAGCTCTGAGTCTCTCTCCCGCTTCCTTCACAGTCTTTCCCCCCCAGCTGTGGCACAGGAGAATTGCAGTGCCGTATTCTGGTGATCTGTCCTTCTCCGCAGGTCACTGAGCAAGCAGACCATGGCGACCACAAACTCCATCCTCCGTCCTGGCGAACTGGGAATGACACATAACAAAACATTTTTCCTATGCTATCCTTTGGTTTTTCCATTTAATTAAATCTATAAACAGCAATCATTGTGTGATACCAATACACAGTGAAATGTCTTATTCAGCAAATTTAAACCTGTAACAAAATTTGAACAAAATCCACCATATATATCGAGTACTAGGAAAGGTACCTGCTTTTTTGTCATATTTAAATATTTTAACAATGAAACAGATGCGAATATTTGTAATATGAGTGTTGACAAAAGGCACTTTTAATACCAACTGATTCATTTATAAGGGGAGAAAGCCCCCTAAACAAATCTAACTCTGTCTTCAAAGCAGATTTGTTTTTGAGTGTAAACAACCCACTTCTTCCAAGATCTTCATTCTGATTATTTTTGTTTTTTAACCATGCAGAGGTGGACTAGACAATCTCCTGTGTATCATCGTCCAGCTCAATAACCAAGCATGTTTAAACTTCAGGGCATGAAGTGGTTGCTGGAGAAGATCTGATGCAGAACTGATAGTTTCTGTCATGATGTGTTGATGAATGCCCTGATTACTCATTTCATTCAACTGCCTAGCTCTGCCCAGTTCTCATTACCGTTCATTTGATCCAGCTGATTCAGCTTCTATTTGACCAACCTTTAACCCATCATCAGCGCCAGATTATTTGAGCCTTTGGTGAGGGTTCTTTAGCGTACCTGAGTGTTTCTGATTCCCTGATCCTGAACCTTTCTGCCTCTGGACCCCTGAGCCTGTCTGTCCATGTTCTGATCAGTTTGCCTGATCTGTCTTCGGAATCTGCTGGATTCTGCCTGTGTACCGAACCTGAAAGAGATTCCTGACACCGTCATGGGTTTCCCTTCGGTACCTCTTCGGATCTCCTGGCTTTGACCCCTTAGCACGTCTTTGACACCCGCTTTGGCTTCACCCTCTGGATGATCCTGACTTCCTTCATCTGCTATAAATTAGTGTCTGGGACTCTCTGGGTGGCTCCCGCTGCGTTTTGTTGGCATCCGGCTGGCTGGGACCAACCTCATCCTCTGGGCACCGACTGAACTTTAAGACCAGGTTAGTGGCTCACACTTTCATTACCATTCTCCACCAGGTATTCTCCACCTTGGTCACTAACCCGTGTTCTCCTCCTGCAAAGGTTGCTGTCTTCTACAGTTCCATCTTTAAAAAACATTTGGTGAAACCTAACTGTCTCTCCTCCTCAAAAACTGGGTCCTTTTGTTCTGAGCCTGACAGGTTCCAACAATTGTCTATGTCCTTAAAGCAAAACAGGCCCAGACCACCACACTACCACCATGCTGATCCGCTGGTATGATATTTTTGTCTGAAATGCTGAGTTAGTTTTTTGCCAGATGTAACAGGACCCACAATTCCCAAAAAATTAATGAAATGAATGTTCTCTGATGGGTCTTAATGTTTTTTTTTGGTATTTTTGTTCATCATTGGTTTCCACTCTTAAACTCGCCTATAGAAATGCTTTATTTCCCAGTCACTGACCCAGTCACTGACCATAGCCGAGGCAAGTGTGATCTGCAGTGCTTTAGATGTTGTTCTAGGCTCTGTTTTGGAGCTCTTCTATGAGTGCTGGATGTGATGTTTGGGTATTTTTTGGTAGATTAGGACCTTGTCGGAAGATTCGGCCGTGTTTGATGTTTCTAATTTTTTTGAATTATGGCTCTCAGTGTGGTGTGCACAGCCCTAGAATACTACCCTTTCCCGAATGGATAGATATCAATGACTTTATTTCTCATATGTTCTTAAAATTTTAAGATTAGGGGATGATGTGTTGCATTATGAGATGTTTTAGCTTTTTTAATAATGACAAGCACATTCTATGTAAGTGATTTCTTTCTACAGGTCTGACTGGTAACTTAATTTCCCCAAAATTTGGGTTTAATCACACTTAATTATTGGTTTAATATGGGGTAGAGTTTATTTTTATATTAGGTTTGGATAGATTCTTGTCTTACTAAATCCAACAATCATTTACAATCTGATTTTTAATATCTATTTTCTTTTTCTGTGATTTTGAAGCAAACTACTGTGATTATGAAAACCATTCAAGTTCGAGAAATAACGAAGAAATCAATAAGGGGCATTTTAAATAGCAAATACCAGGGAAGATTCCGTATTTCTTATATTTTTTGCATGGAAGGCATCGATGAGTCATTGCACTGTGGAGCAACGTCTCAGCCAGTGATTTATTTGGAATTAACTTTTGACAAGGCACACCCTGCAACACAGCGAGGAGATCCAGCTCCTTGCTAACACACAGACACACTGTGAGAGCCACATTTACGGAGACTGAAGCTCAGCATTTTGTAGTTTAAAAGATTTGGTATTGTCTTATAACTAAGCTGTAATGACTTTTTCTGAAGGTCCATTATGTTCTCACCTCCCCACATTTCATGAAAATGTTTTGTTTCTGATTAGTCAAAGGGGAAATGGAGCACAGATAATTAAACACAGACACAGTAATATAACATTGCAAAGGCAGACACTTCAAGATGAGGCCAGCTTGAGACAAAACAAAGTACTACTTACCACGACTGTCACATTTTCCCAAGCTACACTTTCGAGTCTGGATAGATGGTCCAGTACAGGGGTTGCTGGTTGCATCACATGACCGACCTCTCTGTTGAGTTCCTGTGCCACAGGTGACTGTGCACTGTGTCCATTCTGACCAGGGGGACCAGCCGTCCTCGCTGTCTTTAGCTTAAAAATATCGACATCTACTTACTATTTTACATTTAAGTACTGGAAAAAGATAATAATTTCTTGCTTTTTATTCTTGATGTCACTTTGTTTATCGAATGACTTCATCTGAAGAGCCCACAGAAGCCATTCTTAGTGTCAATAAATATGTGGTTTACTACCACAGACAAACTGGCTGCAAGAGTCATGTGCTATTAAACCTTAGCATGGATGGAATATAATTTTTATGAGACATGGCTCCATCAGTTTAGAGGAAAGAACATGAAGAAGAAAGACTAAGTTGGGTTCTTGTTTGCACTAGATTTTGTATAATCTACTTACGCATGCACACAGGGCAGCATTCCCCATCTATTAAAGAGGGGCTGGCACAGGCCACTGGTGGGCATGTTATCTGGTGGCAGACAATCTTGGACTCCTTTAATTAGTAGAAAATAAAATAGATATTACATTTACAAACATCAACAGTAGATTTCTATTGTTTCACATGAGTTGGAACTACCTGGCAGGTACATTTAGTGCAGCTGTCCACCACCCAATCTTCCTTGTCCTCAAACAGACGGCCGTCTTGCCAGCACATGTTTTTCTCTTTAGTGTCCTTCATTCTCCCAAGAGCCTCCTTCATGACAGTGTTCTCCTCTGTCTGAACACAAAACAGCAGATTTGTAGTGAGGAAAGACATCAGTCACAAATAATTAAGAAACTTTTATTATATGAAGATGAACTGTTTTGCATTATCATTGTGCTATACCTGTTGCAGGTATAAGGATCAAATACAGACAAAATAATTCTTAGCAACACATGTTGGGCTACATCAGGGAGTGTGAGAAAGATCAGTCATATAACAGTGCTGTTGCGTTGACCTCAACACTATACCTTTTTTTTTCTCTTGGCTCTGAGCTAACAGAGCTGTAAAACCTCCGGCTTACTATTTTTTTCTTCTTCTTTTTTGCAAAATTCAAGTTCCAACCCACTTGGAGACCAGGGGATCTGTGGCTGGACTCCCTCAAACTTGGGGAACTGTCAGTCGATTAACCGCTGCCAAAGATTTGAATGTTTGACTCTGCCTGCTTCCTCTTCAATGGGGAAACAGCAGTGTGCAGCACTAGAGTCTAAGACACCACTCGGGCTGGAAGAGCCTCAGGGACCCTTCTCATACCAGCCACTTTTTTTCCCCCCAAGGTTCATGCCAATATTCTCTTATTGCTGGGAGGCTCCCAGAGGAAATGCAAGAGCTGTTTAAACAAGGTCAGACATTAGACCGGACCGATGCATCGCCAGGGGAACACTTCCTATGTCCACATGTAACATGTCATAAAATCTGTCTGACTCATGCTTCCACAGATAGCAGGAGTCAAACGGGGTCAGTTATCACAAGCTGCTCTAAAAACATTGTGTGGCTTCTTGCTGTTTACTTCCAAACCAATATGCGTTACCCTAGTTACCCTGTTTAAAAGTATTTCTATCTGGATGCCACACAAAGAACTGCATGATTTATTCAGAATTCATAACACAAGAAAGTAAAGTGTTTGATCCAATCATTTCAGCCACTCACCACTTTTTGCAAACCGTCAATAAGGTTACTGACAACAACACGCAGGCCTTTCAGCTCTTGGAACATGATGCTAAGTTCTTCACACGAGCGTTCGCACATATCCGCACCCAGGTCATCTGTCTTCTGACCTATGATGTTTGTGGTGATGGAGGGGCTAACATCCACAATTTCTGCACCCTCTCCCAAACCGTTGTCATCATCTGAAAGCGAAAGGCAGAAGAGATGTAGGCCGCCACAGACCAGTGATGGGAAACACATTTAAGATCATTGTTGAAACATAGGTTTTATGATCTGCAGACAGTGTGACTTCCTCTTTGTGTAAGTCAGGGCTGGTTTGTACATATAGCCCATTTCAGTAGTAAGACAATTCAATGCTAATGTAATGTAACGTAATGTATTTTGGAGCCAAGCCATTCAATGATTTATGAACTAGCAGAAGTATTTTAAAGCCTATTTTAAAGGACTTTAGAATCGGGCTGATGTGCTCCACTTTCCTAGTTTTGGTGAGGACTCAGGCAGCAGCATTCTGGATCAACTGCAGTTATCTAATTGACTTTTTATGCAGACAAGTGAAGACAATGTTGTAGTAACCGATTCTACAAAATATCACCTTATTAATTCCTTTTTAAAGACCACATTGAGAAATTAAATAATTTTAAACATGAAGGTATTCTTTAGCAATATATTTTACTGTCTTTTTGTGCATCTAAAGGTTCAGTTCTGTGTCCATCACTGCACCTAGTGTTTAAGTTAAATTGGTAGTTTTTAGATGTATAACTTCTAAATAATCTTCCTTTGGTAGATTCCTTTTATAGCTTCAGTTTGTTTTAATTCGGCTGAATAACATTTTGGCACATCAATGCAATAATTTCTTCTATGTAGTTACCAAATGCTTGAATGGGCAATGTGAATGGGAAAATGTGGCCACATGGGATTCTTGTGATCTCTGATATGAAGTTATCTTACACAAAAACAGGAATAAAGAAAGTGCCATATGCCGTATAGCTGCTGTGACTTTTACTGTTCTCCTAAAACTAGATACAGTTTAGAGTCCTACTTAATTTAAAGATGAATTTGCCAAATATATGTATAATTTATATTAACTGTTGGAGGGCAAGAGAAAACTTTGATTGAGGAGCCCCTTAAAATTGGTAAACCTCTGTAGATTTACATGAAATTGATAACGCCATTTTCAGTTGATTTCAGTTAAGAATGTAAAAATCCTTGTCTCTAGATTGGAACCTAAAATCCTCGAGTGCAGCTTCTGACTACTGGCTGATTTGAAAGGCATAATCCTAAGTTTTCTTTGCACCTTCAAAACATCTGCAGCAGGAAAATCCAGCCAAGCATAACATGTCTACCAGCTGGGATCTTTGCACAAACACAGGTCACAGGACAAACAGGCTTAAATACAAGTCCACACTGCAGGCAAAGCCATCCTTTCTGGGAGGAGTTAGTAGAAAACCTTCTAACGTAATAACTGCCCACATTCCCTCACAGTTTACACCTTCATTTCCCCTCAGATTGCTTCTCTAAACTCCTAAGTCTAATTATATCACAGCACAGTTTCTGAATATGTTATTTCCAGAATAAACAATATTGAAAAGCTCAATGGAACACCTGTCATCCTGCCAAAACACAACCACGTATTTGCGTCTGACTTGGATCTGGTGATGCTAATTGGTGAAGATTAACATCAGATTGGGGACTCTAAATCAAAAAGTCATTCTACTTGGCCAGTGATGTCCCAAAATGCTTTATTTTCTCCCTAGCCTGCTGGATCCATTAGAATCTCAGGAGGACTGGTCTGTGAAAGCATTTACAAATTCTCCCCTCTCCCTGATTGACATTCTCATTTTTTTTCCCGAAGCACAGCAAGGGATAAATTCAACAAAGACTGACAGTAGGGGGGTAATTTTCACTCTGCTCGCTATGTCCGGTGTATCGGTTTTTACGAGAGTGGTTTGTATAGGTTTATAGGGGCCGTTTTGCATTAAATTCTCTGCCAGGTCGGAAGCTTGACTGGCACCAGTGTGTGCACAGAAGGCTTTAAGGCTGTGGTGACATTTGTTCGACAAATAAACTCCTGGAATCAAACACTTCTGGTTGCAATACATAGGAAAAAAGACATTACTGTGTGAGGATTTACTTTGCAAAAAGACAACAAAGCCTTGACTCTCAGATCTATAAAGCTTAGGATATGTTGCAAAAGGTCCTTGTGTACGATTCTGCTCTGGTGTCTGTACCTCTATAGCTGCTGCTCTTGTGAGACCTGCTAACGATCATGAGGTCCTTATTCTTAAATTGGACCAACCTTCAGCTGAAAGCAACCAAAGCAGCCAGTTTATGATCTCACCATAAGCGTGTGTGAGTGTGTGTGTGTGCTTGTATGAGCAGCTGGAAGAGGAAGCTCTGTGATCTGCAGTAGAGCCTTCACTCTCACTTTCCCTCTTTTTCTATTTTCTTTCCCAGGATATTATTCCAACTCCATTGCCAATGGAAATAAATGTAAGCATCTGCATTTCTTTTCGTGCACTGCTCGACCTCAAAGCCACTGCGTCTTCACCGCTATTTCCACAAGCGTCAAGCGACCACGGGAGATCCTCGCCACGTATCTGGAGGCTTCTTTTTGACCCAAATACAGTAAAAGCCCTAAAACCCATACAGCGGGGGTCAGACGGCGGAGCTAAACTGGCTGCTGTGGTGGATATTTAATGAAACACAGGCATGACATGGGATTGGGGGGGGTTGCATGTGAAGGAGTCTTTAAGTCACATCTGTGAGGGTTCGGGCTTGAAACACTTTGAAGCTATGATAAGTTTGACTTAAGTTTTTGATTCTGGAAAAAAATATTAGGGTCTCAACTTATAGGTCATGCTACAATCATTCAGATGCAAGCTGTTCTAAAAGCTTGTAATAACCTTTTCCAAATAAACACTCCCCTCTCACCTAGTCTTGTGACTTCACAGTCTCTGCTCAGCAGGATGTCTTCCACTGATGTATCAAAGATGAAGCGCACGTTCTGAAGGAGACCCTTTTTTTTAAAAAAAACAAAAAAAACAAACAGCATGTCAATTGATTTTATAGTCATTTACCTCTTTTAAACATCGGGTCTGTTTTCCAGGCCAAAAGACCATCATTCTCACAGGTTCCAAAAAGAGGCTACTCTCCATCTTACCCTAAAGTGGTTCTCCCGAATTGATCCCTTTGCCACATACATTCGACTCCCCTCTGCCTGCAGACGTTCATAGAATGGCTCATCCAGGATAAAGCTGTCAATCAGGCTGCAACCCACAAACAGGTTTGCATTCTCCCCATGAATGTGAAGTGTGATGTTCTTCCACTGCGAGTCAGCCAGGTCCACATCCTCAAATGAGACCACATTCTGCGAGCGATCCACCCAGTACACCAGGTCCAGGGTGTTGGCACGTCCATTGGAGACAATCTCAAACTGACGCCTGCCGTCAGGGCCCTCCAGGCCAATCAAGGTGCCCCTTGAGGCGCGATCCTGGCGGATGCTGGCGATGAACACAAAGCCCTCGTTGTTTTGGATCTGTTGTAGTATTTGTTTTAATATCGGAGGACTGACTGGGGGCAGGTGGTCGAAGCGGATGAAACGGTAGGCAGGGAGATCGGAGTATTGGCCCCGGAACTGTTTGGCCCCCAGAGTCTTGCGGGTGATGTGGCTGATTTCGAACATATCAAATGATGTTTCATCTTCCTGCTCGCCATCTTTAAAGGGTTGAAAATTGGAAGTCAGGTTCATTTTGGGTGTTAATAAAAGTTTATAATTTTTTTTTTTACTAAATCGCAATCAAAACAATCAAAATGTAAGAATTACACTTATTAATCATAATAATCATGTAATAAATTCAATTTGCAGAATAAACTGGATTCTGTGCTGATTATTAATAAATACGCAGATAATCCACAAAATTATACTCACCTTGGGGTGTTACCTGATGGAATGTGAATGAGAGCAACAAGAACAGAAAACTCCTCTTGAGTAACATATTTCCTGTATAAAACAATAACACTTTTATTAGCTTTTCCTAGAGCCGCCTAGTCTAACATTTGCTATATTTTATGAGCTTCCTAACTTTTCTTTTGACTTCAAATTGAGGTACAAATAGAGCAAATAAAACAACTAATGCATTACATGTAAAATTAATTAGAAAAAGCCCATAAACTAAATATGTTTATTATACTTGCACTGCAAAAATAATCTAGAAATAAGTAAAACGTTTCTTAAATCGAGTGTATTTACCCTTTATTTTAGAAGGTTAATGGTATGATTTGCCAATTGAATGAGTATTTTTACTCTTAAAATAAGATAATTAGATATTATGCACTTGTAATAAGACAATGCAGTTGCATTTTCTTGTTTTAAATGTAAATTGTCTTGTTCCATTGGCAAAGTGTCTCACTTACCAACTCAATTCAAGACAAAATGCACTTATTTTAAGAAAAAAAAACGACTCTTAGATTTTCATTTTTGCAGTGTGTATTCATGTTATTATTTCTTGAATATAAAAGAATGCAAAAACTGTGAATTAAAGACAATGCAGCAATCGAGAAATGCCAAATTCTAGAGAGCTGTAGCCTAATTGAGACAAATTAAAATAAAATTGAGCTGCACAGTACTATTTTTGAAGCTTTTTTTGGTGTTAAGAAAAGATAAATCAACTCAAAGAACATAAAGTTAAAGAGAAAGAAGGTTCAAGAAGCTGACTTACCTCACTAATTTGACTATTTTTTTAAACTCTGAATAATATCCACCAGCTGCACAAAAGCCGTCAAGTTAAACTTAAAGTAAGACGGCTTATTTTATAGGATGAACCCAGACTGAAATGAATGGGAAGCGGTATTTCCTGCAAAGTCCGTGCGTAAAAAACGCTCCAAGTCCACCTTGCTCCGCTACATCCACAGTCTGGAGGAGCCGAGGCGCAGCAGTGACTGGGGTCTCCACCTCTCTCTCTCTCTCCTCTTTTATTTAGAGACTTGCAGAAGAGCCCGTCTGTCACCGTCTCTCCTGGATGAACGGTCTGCGGTGGGGTGTCATGAGACAGTTACATAAAGGAAATCTTCCGATAGCAATTGTGTAATATGCTTATCCCTCGCATAGCCTGACTGTGGGACACGTGGCCCCTCCCCTGTTGTCTCCCACCTTGATGCGCAGCAGTCTCTCTCCCTGTGAAGCCCTCTTTCTCATTGTGCTGGCAGCTGAGTCACCGTATCTAAAAGGAGCCCATTTAAAACAAACGAAAAGCTAAATTTAAATGATACTCTGCCTAAAATATGCATTTTCCATTAAAGAAGTAGTTCTTTCAACAAGGAAAATAAAACTACTCAAACCAACCTTAATCTCATTCCCTAATAACTGGTGGCAGTAACAGCTATCAAATATTTTCAACTGGTACCCTTTCTTTGAAATAGCTGTGGTGGAAATTTGGGTCACGCTTCTGTGCAGAGTTGCTTTAAGCCAACACTAAATAACTTTTCAACATTCATAAAATATTTTCACAACTTTTGTGATTATATGTCGACTTACAACTAGTTAAATGGAAACTCTGTCATGACCCGAGGAGGTCTGTATCTGTTTCACCAATACTAAGCCACTTTGAAGGTGGCAGTAACCCTGCCACACAAAACAACTGCAAATGTGCCGACTGCTATACGGCATATGTCACTTTCTTCTTTACCCGTTAATTAAGAAGACGAAAGACGATGCAACTATGTTACCCATATGGCAGAAGTCACCAACCTTTTTAAGGCTTAGGGCCACTTCAAGGGTACTGAGTCTTAGGAAGGGCTACCAATACTGGTGCAAGAACTGCAAAGGTCGGCGTTCATGTAAACTTTGTACAATATAAACAATTTTTTATTCTTTCTTTTAATTAGATTTCTGTCATTTTGGAAATTTTCATTTTAAAATGTTATATAAATTATTACAAAAGCAACAGAATAAAAAACTTTCAAACTTAGCACACTGGCGAGTTGTTCTATTTTCAGAAGACATGGTCCTTGAGGGCCCCTTGGTGCCCATTGGCACCACGTTGGTGATCCCTCCCTTAGAGACTGTATATTCTTGTAAATGTCATCTCAAGACATGTCATGTCATCTCAAGGCACTTTACATTTCACCAGATCAAATTAATTCAAAATTTTCTATGTAAGGAAAACCAGTTGATTGCATCGACTCATTGACTCAAAGGCAGTCCTTACACTAAGCATGTTTGTAGCGTCAGTGGAGAGAAGAAACTCCCTTTTAACAGGAAGAAACCTCCAGCAGAACCAGGCTCAGTGTGAGCGGCCATCTGCTGAGGCTGACTGGGGTTTAGGGAGACAGAAGCAGAGATAGAAAAGGTAACTGTAAAAGGTGGCCACGTTCAGGAAACACACAGCCAGGTAGACGAGCTCAGAGCCAGCTCCCATTTCAGAGGAAGAAGAGAGCATATTCAGCCAGTCACGGCCAGAGAAACAGGACTACACTGAAAAACAGGCTGATCTCTAACATCTATAAAGAAAGGTGTTGATTGCAGCAGCACAGCTGATATTTCTCTCCAGGATGGTGTCAATGCGGTCTTCCGCAAAACAATACAGTTTTTATCCACTGGGGGGAGCCAAATTGACTCAAGCTGAAAGTTCTTTAGAGAAGGGGTTTGGAGGGGCTTCAAGTGTTGAGGTCATGTGTGCCCTTTTGACCAGAAAGGTGGTGTTAACAGTCCAGGGGAGGTTGTCTATGATGTGCACCCCCAGGAATTAGGTGCTGTTGACCACCTCTACAGCTGAGCTGTTGATGAGCAGTGGAGAATGGTTAGGCTAGTTCTTTCTGAAGTCCAAGATGATCTCCTTTGTTTTCTCCAAATTCAGGATCAGGCTGTTGTCTCTGCACCAGTCCACCAGCTGCTCCACCTCCTCTCTGTAGTCCTGGTCATTGTTGTCTCTGATGAGGCCCACCACCGTAGTTTTGTCCATAGTGCCACATATGGGGACGCAGTCATGTGTCATCAGAATAAAAAGCAGGGGTCTCAGGACGCAGCCCTGAGGGGAGCCTGTGCTTAAGGTGATGGCATCAGAGGAGTTTTGTCCAACCCGGACTGACTGAGGTTTGTTTGTGAGGAAGTCTAACAGCTGAAAGCTGAACTGAGGTCCAGGAACAGCATCCGCACGTGGGTGTTCTTCTCCTCCAGGTGTGCTAGGTTTAGATAAAGAACAGAGGAGATGGCATCTTCAGCGGAGCGGTTCGTTGGTAGGTGAACTGGAATGGGTTGAATGTTGGGGGGAGACTGGAGACGATGTGTTCTTTAACAGCCTTTCTAAGCACTTCATCATGATAGGAGTCAGTGCAACAGGTTAGTAGTCATAAAGCAGACTTAAAGCATGCTGGCACTATGGATTGGTCAAGCAAGGTGTTGGATGTCTGTAAGGACTCCAGCCAGCTGATCTGCATGTTTCTTGTACACCCATCTACGTATGTTATCGGGGCCTGGGGCCTTTCTTGGGCTGACTCTCCGCAGAATTTTCCTCACTTCAGCTATGTCAAGGTTAAGTGCCTCCTCCCCATGGTGTGGAATGGCTTTCACTGCTGGAGTTCTGTTTAGTGCCACAAACCACATATTATATGAATATCTGATTTTAATACATATTATTTGAGGATCTTATGAAGTAAAATCACTTTCCTTTGTTCATCTGCCATTTTTTGGGGACTTTGTCTGCTCTTTACTGAATTTCAGCAAGTCCATTTGCCAAATTCCTATCACATTTTAATTTCAATCAAGTCTTGAGAAGTTATCGGGATTGATATCTTTCTTTAGGCTACCGTAGTTGTTTCTTATCATGGAATATGACTAATATTGAAATCAGTGACAATCTATGTAAAGATATCATTTATCAGGAAGATATTATCACATTTCCTGCCAAAGGACTATAAGTGCCTTTGAAAAAACCTAGTGCCATAATTTATGATCAAAGAAAGAACAAAACATCTCCTAGATTGCTGTGAATTAACACAGGGTCTGTTTGAAACAAACTAGTGGTACAAAACACATAGCATTCATCCACTTTTTTTAGAAACATGTCTTTTGCTTGTGGGTATGTTTGTATAATAACATCGAGCCAACTTAAACTCAAGAGCTTTCTTAAAAACTTTACGAAGGTTCCTATATTTAGAGTAAGAAATGGTGTCTCTATGCATATCAAACAACTTAGCAAAAAACCAGTTTGTTCACCCTTTATTCACTCTTTTTTCACCATAAAACAAAGTAATGTGACAGTTGGAAGCAGTCACAACTGGTTCAAATCTGTTGTGCAATTAAACGGGCTCTCTGTGTTGAAATGAAGTTAACTGACTGAACTTGTGAGGAGGATAGAACGATTGGTGATAACTTTCATCTGTGGTTGTTCATTTGGTTCCACAGGTGTGAGGCTGGCTAAAAAAAGAACATGCTCAGTTAATTCTGGGGTATAATTAAATAAATGATCTGGCTTTTCCCAGAGTCTGGAAGGATTTTATATATACCATCAGCTTCACAAATCTGTGCACCACATGTTTCACCATGTTATTATTTAGCAAACAAAGCTAAAGTTAAAATTAAAAGGTTTGTAAAAGAAAAAAAAGTACTCCCAAAAAATCACTCAAGCATACAAAATACTTCCTTTTTAGCAAAAATGTGGCATAGAAAGATGACACTTCTTCATTTAAGTTTACATATAATCAACCCTGAAAATAATAGATTGGGTCAATTTTAAATTAGAGAATGAGTTTGATGTGAACTGAGTTTGAACCAAATTATCTCACAAGTTATGTTTGCCAAAAGAATTGCTCATCTTCAGAAACAGGAATTGGAGTCATTTGCTCACTGTTTGCTGCAACAATGGCCTTAACTCTTCTGGAATGGTTTTTCACAAGGCTTAGGAGTGTGTTTATGCAAAGATCTTTTGACCAATCCTGACATTTTTAGAAGAAAATTAGTGGTTGAGCAGGCATGACTTTCAGTTTCTGCTCTTGGTCTTTTTAAAGGTGTCTTTAGAAGTTCAGTCAGGACCCTGTGTGGTTTGGTAATGTGTGGCACATGTGTGCACTGGTAAATCCATATTATAGGACTAAAGGAGCTGTCTCCATACTGTTCTCACAGGGACAGGAGATTGAATATGTAACAAATACTCCAGTAAGTTAAGTTATTAAAAGGTAATGTTACTGAAAATAAGCGGCCAAATCTAGTTCCAATAAATTTGTCTCCTCGCAAAAACACTTTTAAGCATTATAATGGAAAAACCTCACATATATATGTACAAGAGAAATCACAGATTCAGGTGTTCACAGATCCTCATTTTTCATTTTGTTCGTTTGATCTTTTTTCCTCTCTCTCTCTCTCTCTCTCTGCAGGTGCTGAAGCAAACTTCTAAAATGTTATCTTCTAGCCTATTTCTTTTATATTTTTTCTTATTCTATATCCTCTCTCCTTCTCCGCCCTTTAATTTGTTCCATAACCCTTTTCCTTTTTCTCCTACTTTCACCAGAAGTATTCTACATGCAAATGTGACCTATCTTATGCAGCTGGGACCAGGGAATGACTGGAAAACCTGTTTAATGAATAAGAAAAGACTTTTGACAGCATAGATTACATTAATGGACATTGATAAGATTTGATTGGCCAATGCCCTGGAGTGACATTGATTTTTAATTGCTATTGCATCAATAAACTGAACAAGATAAAAAATACTTTTTATTCGATTGAAAAAGCTAATGTTAACATTCTCTGTATCACAATGAACCATCTGAGCTCATCCGTACAATATGTCCTAAATGTCATGGAGTGTGATTCATGAATCTATATCAGTTTGTTTTACTGTGTGTTCTATTCTCCTTGAGCTTCCTATAGTGTTCATTTCCTGTTTTTCTCTGTCCCACCTGTTTCTCGTTTGTGGTTTTCACACCTGCAATCACTTAGTTTTAATTTTCTTTAGGTAGCCATTTAGCTTATAGTCAGATGTTTTGGTCTGTGCTTTCCTTCATCTTCCACCTCACATTGTTTTTCCTTAAGTTTATTAGACTTTGGATTCCCTCTGCAGTCCTACACTCATGATTCAATTTTGCTGGCTCTTTAAAATTACACTGTTAACTATCATCTCATTAACTGTAGACATTTGTATGCACTATGGTCTTAAGTTTACAGTATTGTGGAAAATGTGATAATCTGTTGCTTATTGGTTTTTATGGAAAATGGAAACAAGCTCGCTAAACTCACATTTAAACGACAAAATTCCACCTTTATTTATGCATTCAGGTAAAATATGTAAACAAAAATGCGTTTTCTAGCAGAGAAAAAAGTTAGGACATCTTTGTGAGACGTTTCTCATTGAGTTATCTATGCATAGGTAACATATGAGGAATATATACTAAATGTGTGGGTTGTTTGTACAGCCCATTTGAAATCACCCACAGCATCAAAATAAATAGAGATCTGAACTTTAAATTACCAAGTATTTTCTGTTTCCCAACTATAAGCCATTTCCTATCTGGTTTGTTGGTGCTGTTGCCAGTATTTCCGTTTTTAGAATGGATCCGGAATACTGTCTATATTCTCTATAAAAAAAACCTCAATCTGGCCTATATGTCCTTCTCGGACAGTAAAGGTTTCATCCTTGTATAACTCAAATGAGGCACGCACTATCAACATTATCATTTGCAACGGTAGCCTGCTGCAACTTACACATAATATTGGAGACTTCTTTTAGCATCTTGCAGTCTGCTTTTAAGATAGACCTGACTTGTTGGCAGTATTTTATGGTGTTTACTTAAACTATGTGTGTTACAACACATTATAGGATATATAGCTAATTATAGGACCAGAGCATGTTATAACTTACACCTCCGCAGATATTAATATGAAGACATTTTGAAAAAAATCTCTTCTATACCTTGTAATTCACATTACTTGAAATCTTTTGTGTTTGTAGTTTTAACGCTGATATTTAGCATCTATCTGCCCAAATATGTTTAAAAATGATAAAGCTGCTGTAGGGTGGTCATAATTTTCTTCATATGGCTTCTTGTCTTTGTTTGATTCCATATCAGTAAAAAAGGAGAAGAAAATGCCACAATGACGCACTGCCCTAAATTCCTCCTCCAAAATTCTCAGTACATGTTTTCATTGCTTTTTGAAATATTTTCAATGATCTCTTGTGTCAGTTGGACTTAATTTCTGTCCAAAGTCTACCTGACAGACAGCACAGAGATCTGCACTCCCTTGTGCACCCCTTCAATAATACTAAGCAAACATCAGAGATCTGGGGGAGCTATGAGATGAAGGTGATGGATGTCAGTTAGGTTGATCAACAACTTTATTTTCCAGTTCTCCTCTCCAGATCGTGACTTCACAGTGAAGGTTTCTGTTTTTATCAGTTAGTTTTTTTATGTGTGTGTGTGTGTGGCCATGTTTTTGTTACCTTGTGGGGACAAATTCATAGGAATATGCAACATTTTGGGGACTTATAGGTACTTGTGTGGACTAACGACTTGTCCCCATGAGAAAAGGTTCTCTTCTTGGGGTTGGGGTTAGGTTAAGGACTACGTTGTAAATTGAATTGAGTTTATATTAGGTTTAGGGTTAATTATGTGATGTAATGATTAGAATTAGGGTAAGGGTCTGGGCTAGGCCGTCAAAGTGAAAAAGGAAGTCAAAGGAAAGTCCCCGCAAGGATAGTGTGATAGAACTTGTGTGTGTAAGGCTAAGTACTCCAGTCTTAAAGGAAAATCTGGTCCATTAAAAGGTTTAAAATATTGAAAGCTGGACCTCTGTAGAATAAAATAGATTTGGGAATGGCAGAAATAAAGGAGCTGCCTATAAATGTTCCTTTTGGTTAGAATTTTCAGTAAATATTCCCTTTACATTGATCATGCCAAAAGCTGAGTAATACCCATGAAACAGATTTGGCTTGAAGTGCTGGCACTGTAAACTGTGCTTGCATAAGCTCTCATATGCAATGAAAACTTGCTTCACTTTGCATAAAATTCACCATTTTGGTTTCCATGGTTTTAGATTTTAGTTGTTGTTTTTTTTGTCACAGTTATTCACATCTGCTTGTATTGACTTTAAGCAGTAAGTTGGAGTTTGCATCAAACTGTAGTATCAAGTATTCCATTGATGACCTAAATGTAGTCTTGCTCCTTTTCAGCAACACAAAATTACTTTTAACATTTTCTCTATTATCTTTCTTGGACGTCTGGGTTTGAATTTAAGTTGGAGACAACCCTGCACTGTTGTTAATGATCCAGCACTTTAGAAAGAAAGCAGGAGAACTCATGTTCCAGGTAAAAACAGCAACATAAATCTCTAGAACGCTGAGTTCAGAGGTGCATCCTGAGGTAAAAACAGAGTTAATGCTGCAACCATACCTCAGTCTGTGCATCAAAAACTCTACAATAAGGCAATATATTTTGCTAAATCAGTTACCACTTGTCTTCAATGGTAATCTACATACACCCCTTTGATTTATGGAGCTTTCTTTATTGAAGTCAGTTTCTTCCTACATCCAGGTATCTTGTAGACATTAATTTCGTCAAACATGTTTTTGTCTTCAAGTCACAGCACTGCCTTGCATTTAAATAGGTCTCAGCTTTGGATGGATTAATTTCAGGTAGTTTACTCATCACTGAGAAGGAAGAATGTCCCAATAATAGACTGAAACAGTTTTGCATTTCTAAAAGAATCCAGAAGCCTTAAGCAATGATAGCTCAATTGTAGGTGGTTCAGTGTCATGTCATGCAGACATAAAGAAAAATGCTTTGTGCTGTTAACAATATTTCACTTATCAAATGGGAAAAAAAACAGCTTTCCAGACCAACCTGACCCTGGTCAAAGAACTTTTAATTTGGTGTCAATAATGTTATGTTTCCATGGGTTAATGTATGATGAGACATTTCCATTAGCCACTTCCAAACCTAGGATAGACAAAAAAAACATGTTACTGAAATTAGTCAGATTTGGTGGTTGTAGCAAATTACTAAAAGCAAATATTCTTGGCAAGGACTTGAAAAAATCACAACAACTTACTGTAAACTGGGAAAAACAAGGCAGTATGTCAACAGAAGTTACAAGGACCAAAGTGTATCCTGCCAACACAGACAGTAAAGAGGTTGCTTAGAAAGAAAAGCTGGAACAAAGAGGGCTATCCTGGATTGCCAAGTAGTCATAAAAACTATTTTTAGGGTTTTTATGACATATTCATCAGGGGTGCCAATCAGAGCTATGGATGCTTTATTTTAGGTTCATTTAGACAAGCCTTCCCTCAGAACAATTTAGCTTTTAATGTACCCTTTAATGTAGTAAAACATGCAAATGATAATATTTAGCATCTACAAAAATTAGTTAGAGAAAACAGCATTACTCTAAAAGACAATAGGGTTTCTGTTTCTTTGTGGTAACTCAGAGGTACTTTAGCAACTGAACAGGTCTTTCTAAAATACTGACCCCATGGCTTTTCTTTTTTCCTAAGTATAACTAAATTAGCTTTTTTTCTATAAACAAGGTTCACCAAAGAGCACTCTTTTTTTCAAAGGTGCCACTCAGAGCCACTTCACAGAGACATAGAATCAAAACCTTCGGACACCTAAAACCTTCAGAGATCTTAGAAAAGTAGTCAGAGTGGAAAGTTCTTCAAAATGTTCATACCCACCTTAGAATTAGGAGGTTGCAACCCTACTCTTAACAGGTCACATAGAGCATTTTCACCAAGAACGAGATGGATCATCACGTGTAGTATGTTACAACACTCAAACCACTTACCAGGGTGCTCATTTTACGGTGTAGAGGTCCCTAAATTACACTTATAGACTTAGTAAGGAAACAGAGAAGTTGCCAGGGGAGCTTGAAAAGAGTGGAAAACTTTCAAGCCAATCTCAACACAACATCAGTCAAAATATTGCAACACTGCAGGGCAATCGCTTTAACTCTCTGGCTTTTGAGGGGTATCCTTACTGCAGCCTCGACAAATTAGGCCAGTCAGTTCATCCACAAACTGAGGCTGACATAACAGGGGGAGACTTTTACTATCTGACATTTTACAGGCATCTGATCACTATCAGCCAAGCCTGTATTATAAAAGCTTCCAGGGTACAATATGTTTACTTTCAGTGTGCCTAATTCCAGTTTTAACATAAAGATGGCTCACATACTTTGGCATGCAATTTTATCAAACGGTGAGAGCTCTTGTAAAAGAGATTTTATTCTCAATATGTGACCAATATGTATGGTGTTTGTTATTATATGATCGATAAACTGAAAAATCCCATATTTCCTGTTTGACATTTTGCATCAAGGGTAGAGGAACAGCTAAAATGTGACTTTTGACATTATTTTAACCTTCATTTTGGTTAGACGCTATGCTTTTGTTCAACTTTCAGATGATAGCAAAACAACATTATAGTCCACACTAAAGGCATCCTTGATCCTCAAAAATTCCATTTTTTTTAAATAAGCCTGTCAATGTTTAGAACAGAGGACCCAGTAATCCAGGCAGGCAAATTTCTTAAAAAGGCTTTTATTAAAAAGCAGCAAGGACATCTAAGGCAGGAACCTCTGCAGGAGGAAAACTCAGGTTGTGACCACATTAATCTGACTGAGGATGATTACGAACGCGAGTCCCTCACCTGGTTCAGTCCATGCCAGAGGAAGAGGTGGATTCCATCCGAATGGCTGCGAACAGCACGCGGTGAACACTGCCCAGAGAGTTATCAATGCTGAAGCCTTGAAGACTGCAGAGCTTGAAAGAGATCAGATCCAAGGAGATGAATGAAAGCAGGACAATCCAGAGGACGAAGCCAAATCCGGTGTCATAGGTGTTCACAGGAGTCCGAGCCAGAAGATCAGAGGTCTGAAGAGGTGCCGAAGGGAAATCCAGGTTTGTCAGGAAGCAGATAGAACAGATAGAACAAGAACAAGAAGGCTCAGAGGTCCAGAGGAAGAACAGGTCAGGATCAGGCAATCAGAACACAATCAGGTACGCTAGAGAACTCTCACCAATGGCTCGAATAATCTGGCACTGATGAATGGGAAAAGACATGTTAAAATCAGAATCTGAAATACTTTAATAATCCCAGAGGGAAATTACATTTGTTACACGCCACGCTCCAGTTACAGTTACAGTTATATCTATATACATAACCAAGCACACAAGATAAAAAAAATCCATTCTGCCTAAAAATATAGGCAGGAGCAGGTGACACAGATGAATGGAAATGCGAAACCGGGCATAGAATGGAATAAATAATTAAGGCAGTCAATGGTGCCAAGACCATGACAGTTAAATTCTACTATCTGAATTGGAATCAGTAGTCAGTAAGGCTATACAGTACTGTAAGCATGCCATTCATCATTTATCCTGTTGTGCTTATTTAAAAATTCAGAAAGCTTTGAAAATAACCCACATTCTTATGATTCTAAATAGTAATTTCTTGTTTAACTGTATAATAGTATATATAATGTATGAAAGAGGGCTGCTCAGTGGTAAAGTGGGTAGCTAGGTTTTCAATAAGGTTCAATAAGGTTCCGGGTTCGATTTCCGGCCAGGGGTTTTTCTGCATGGTGTTTGCATGGCCTGTGTGTCGCTCTGTTGCCCTGCGATGGACTGCTGACATGTCCAGGGTGTACCCTGCCTCTTGCCCGAAGACAAGTGGAGATAGGCACCAGCACCCCTTGCGCCTCCAGCAGAGATAAGCTTGACGGAAAATGGATGGATAATGTATGAAAGAGAACGCCTGCAAGAAGTTTTGACCAGTCAATATAAAACAGTTGTAAGATTTGGCTGTCATAAAAAAATATATTTGTTACATCATGTTGGTCCATGTTTTATATTAAAAACCTGCAAACATTGTTTTTTTTTTTTATTGCCACATTTGGCCTTTATCCTGCCTCATCTGAAATGAAAAACCATCTAGAATTGCGACAAACTGACCTAGAAATAGATTTTAGCCTGAACAGCAGTTCCCTTTGGGATTAACAAAGTATTTCTGAATTTGAACTTAATTTGAATCTCTCCTTCAGTCAAGATAAGACACGGTACTGACAGAGCAGAACAACTGGAGTGATCCAGTCATTTTCTTGAGTGAGCCAACAGGCTGATTCACAACACAAAGCAGGGGCTCCTTTTTTCTATTTCCCTGAGTTTCTGGCAGTGGAAGTTTATGGATTGAAAGGTAGCTTCAGAGTATGAATTCCTCTTCATGAATTTGCCCTAAAAACTCTCCTCCTTTTAACTCCTGTAAGATCAATGACTATTTTGTAAAAATCAAAACTTGTGCTTTTTCCTTGATATAATTTTGTCTAAAGGGAAATCAGTGGCTACAATGTTCCAAAAAAGGAAAAAAAAAGAAAACAATCCACTGGACTTGGTTTCCAAGTTTGAAAAAGTTTCGCTTCCCATCTAGGAAGCTTTTTCAATAAAAAAAAAAAAAATAAAATCTGAATTAGCAAAGAGTTCGAAGCTTTATATAGTAGCCCAAAAACTTGTTTTGGCTTAGACAACATACAAATTGAACCAGAAGAACGAGTCTGCGCCTTAGGAGTGGGGAGTTGTTTTGGTTACTTTGTTTGTTTAAGGTTGTTTTTTTTTTTCTTAATATAAATGGCTTCCTTCACACCCCTTTCAAACCACCTGTCTTCTTTGCCCAAAATGTGAACATTCTGGTCAAGTGGCTACAAAATTACATTCTTATTTTCAGAAATACTGAAAATATTCAGTATTCAGAAATAATCAAAATCGCAGTTAATTATTTTTGCACATAAATATAGTCCAATATTTTAACAGCCTAACACTGCTACGACTGTCAAAAGGAGAAAATATGGGAGCAATTTATTCTATTTTTGCATGAACAGAAGAAATCTAAGAACTGTTTGAGCATAAAAGACTGTGAGAATCCTGATAGATTGCCTGTTGTTTGATAAAGGGTAACCATCAGAGCTTCAATCGAGCCTCATATAATACTTCGTCCTAAATAAGACTTAGTCCTAGGGGTTTGGAGTAAAGAACCTGATTTATGGTAAAAAGATATATGAAATAAGATTAAAGTTATAGTAATTTATTACCTTGAAATAAGGTAATTGTATTTACTTGCTTTTAGGTAAATCAATGAGTGATTGCATTGGAAAAATGCTCATTGTTTCTTGAGCATTTTTTTCAGTTAGTATTTCATGTCTGAGATACAATCATCTTTTAATGACTTCCAGATCCTCATGTTCATTTTTGAACTATGAATTACAGCCAAATTATAGCAGCCCGTGCTAAGCACGAACTCTTAGAAATGTGGGGTGATGTTTAGTGGAAAGAACTGCCTTATCAAGTAAATCCAAAATGTATTAAAAATAACAAAGAACAGTCATCAAAAGCTCTGATGTGTATTCATGGAAAGGAGCATTAGTAGCATTGTATGAGAGGGAGAATAAAGTTAGGGTGGGATATCTTCTGTGGAAAGAAGTGGAGGAGGAGGAGCTCTGGCCTTGGGTCCCTGGGCACAGAAGGTGCTGCAGCATAGTTGAAGTTCCTCACCCTTACAGCTTCATCCTGCATTGTTGCTCGCTGAGGTGCAAAAAACAGGGTCATTCTTAAGTCCATAATGAGCATCTGTCACAGAAAAGCCTCTAACATAGGGGTGCTAAAAAAAAATGCTAAAAAAAAAAAAGAAAACTTGTAATACTTGTGAATAAGAAGAGTTGAAAGTTGTTCCTATTATTATAGTAATTCCTTCGTGTTCTGTCTCTTTGATACTTAGAAACTAATGCTTTAAGTATATGTTGCAGGGTTCCCAAATTTATATATCAAAGAAATATGTTCTTACTATTAAACATTGTCTAGAAAAAAAGTTGATCGCCCTTTGAAACTTTTTACATTTTGTCACAATACAATCCGGAACCTTTATGTATTGGTATACAGGTGTGCTGTGCTTATGTATTCTGCCCCTTGTTGAAAAGTGAAAAACCTTTTCTCATAGGTCAATTACTGTAAAATGTTAAGCAAAGGGAAGGGCAAGAGGGGGTTATCCCTAACCCCTAACCCTCCCAGCCATGGCAACCTTTAGCCAATCATTGGCCTCCTCACCAGATGATCTGTTGATCCATGTGGAACAACCAGTTCCATGTGGATCTGGTTTTATATGTTTTTTTTATATATAAAATTATTCAATTTTATATGTTTATTAATCAGAACTGTAACCAATCAATTTTGATGGCATAGATGTATAAATGACTGGATATATTTATTAGATAGAGCTTCATGAAAATGTACTCTGTATGATGTCTTATTTGTTTCCTGTTGTTACTATGTGAATAGCCTTTAGATTAACCCTGACCTGATTCTGTCACCCATCAGTTTTAGGACATCCCTACAAACTTTCTCTGGCTTTGCCACTGGTAAAGATTTTAGAAGTTTGTTAGACCTTCATCAACAAACATCTTTAGAAATAAAGGGAGCACACCAGAGAGGGCATTGATGAAGCTATGAGAAAGTTTAAAATAGGAATACATCCTAAGACATTCCATCAAGCTTTGACCATCTCAGGGAGATTTATTTATCCAAAAATTAAGAAGTTGAAAAGCACTGCATAAACAGTCACAAAATGAAAAAAAAAAAAAATCTTAAAATAAGTGTATTTACCTTTAATTTGGGTCTTTAAATAAGATGACCTGCCAATGGAATGAGTATTTGTATTTGACTTTTACCCATGGAGCCCGGCATGGCACAGCCCGAAGAAGATACATGTGCGAGGTTGAAAGGTTCTGACTAGAGATAGTTGGACTTACCTCGACACATTGCTCTGGCTCTGGAACCAGTCTCCTTGAGAAAGGCTGGACATTCTTCCACTCTGGAGTTGCCCCTGGTAAGGTGCGCTGAGCAGGAGTGGGCATACTTGTTGCCCCTCATCTTGGTGCCTGTACGTTGGGGTTCACCCCGGTGAACGAGAGGGTGGCCTCGCTCCGCATATGTGTGGGGGCCCCTCCTGGGGACTCCCTTGTTCTTCTGGGGGCCTTCAACACACAGGTGGGCAATGACAGTGAGACCTGGGGAGGTGTGGTTGGAAGGAATGGCCCACCTGACCTGAACTCGAGCGGCGTTCTGTTGTTGGACTTCTGTGCTAGTCATGGACTGTCCATAACAAACACCATGTTCAAGCATAAGGGTGTCAATATGTGCTCTTGGTACCAGGACACCCTAGGCTGTAGTTCAATGATCGACTTTGTTGTTGTTTCATTTGACCTGTGGCCGCATGTCTTGGACACTCGGGTAAAAAGAGGGGCGGAGCTCTCCAATGACCATTACCTGATGGTTAGTTGGCTCTGATGGTTGGGGAGGATGTTGGTCAGACCTGGTAGGCCCAAACATATTGTGAGGGTCTGCTGAGAATGTCTGGCAGAGTCCCCCGTGAGAAGGAGCTTTAACTCCCATCTCCGGCAAAGCTCTGAACACGTTCAGAGGGAGGTGGGGGACATTGAGTCTGAGTGGACCATGTTCCATGCCTCCATTATTGAGGCGGCTAGTCAGAGCTGTGGCTGCAAGGTTGTTGGTGCATGTCGTGGTGGCAACCCTTGAACAGGCTGGTGGACAACAGCAGTGAGGGAAGCTTTCAAGCTGAAGAGGGAGTCCAATCAGGCTTTATTGACCTGTGGGACTCCAGAAGCAGCTGATGTGTAGGTGGCTCTGCTGGTCGCTGATGCAAAAACTTGGGCGTTGGAAGAGTTCGGAGAGGTCATGGAGAAAGACTTTCGTACAGCTTCAAAGCGAATCTGGTCCACAATCCAGCATCTCAGGTGGAGGAAGCAGTGCAGCACCAACACTATTTATAGTGGGGGTGGTGTGCTGTTGACCTTGACTCACGAAGTTGTATGTCGGTGGGCGGAGTAC